GGGGGGGACAGAGAAGAGATGAACAACAGGCAAGAATTTACATATCTGCATCTCTCTCTATATCAAAAGGCACAGAGCTTTCCAGAGCCACTGGAATCAATACTGTGGATAGTTAGCATGGACTATCCCAAAGAGAATGGCCTTCGGTTACTGCAGCCTGAACTCTTTTATGTATACTGTATAAGAGTAGCAGAATAGAGATGGCAAATAGGATACTAGATGATCACTCCTTGATTCTGCTCCATGGAGGATACAATTTGGGGATGATGTATCCAATGCTGTGATAGTTGTTGTGGGATGAACGGGTTAGTTGCAGCTCCGCAGCATTGCATTGCCTCCAGTTTTCTGCTTCTCTGCATCAATATTCCATCCTTTAATGTGTTTTATTGTCTTGGGCTTTGGGACAGTAACAGCAAGAAGTTCTAGCAGTACCACCTTCTCTGACCAGATGTCCTCAGCAAACCTCTGAGAAGCCATGTCATGCTTTTCATACCATTAATTCTTCCATGCTGAAAGGAAAACATCCAGAATTTGGATGATCCCTGAAGTCATCTTGTACCCTTTGACCTGCTTCTAGGACTGATGCTATTATCAGCCTCATGACACTCTGCCACACATCTCTGAAGGGTCAACAGCCCAAGAGTAAAAGTGCATGGAATTCTAATCCTGGTGGAATACTCACATGGATTACATTGGACAATCCTTCGTAAGTAGTCAGGCAATAACGTCCTTTATGGGAGAAGAATCAAGAATACTGGAAATAAAGATGCAGCTCTTGCTGAGCCATATCACATGATGAGGTGATTGAATTGAAATACACCCCTGCTGCTAATAAGGCCCCTGTCAATCACAAGGGGCTGTTAGCAAACCAGAGGTAGTACAGTGAAAGCTGCAGGAAACCCCAAGCAAAGCAGGTTATTTTTCACCCACGCACACCCATACTTTAGGGACTGGCAGATATGTTTCCTTGAAGTTTTTTCATTAGGGTTGCGAGTGCTGGGTTTTGTTGTTGTTTTAATTGGAAAGCCTGTCGGCCATGCCCTCTGTCTCCTGACTCTTGTTTCTCAGCCTGAGTAACCAGATCAAGAAACCAACTCCATAGGAAGGCTATCACTTTACTTTATTGAGATAGGCCACAATAACAGAGCCTTGCAACTTTGTATTTTAGCCCCTCACTCCCACCCTGCCACCACAGTGAATCAGGGAGGAGCCAGCCTGAAACTCTTACTAATACTATCCTCTTGATCAGGGCTTAAAGGCATGTTTCTGCCATTCTTGTTTCTGTAACAGCTTCTGAATATTCCCTTCAAGGCCATCTGCATGTCTTGGGGAGAAGTACCAGAATGATAAGGGAGACTGTCCCCCAGCACCAGCAGGCTCAGGTCAGGATTTGTTGGCTGAATGTACATTGGGCTTGCTAATCTATTTAGATTAAAATTCAAGAAGTGGCATCTTTTTTTCAGGGTTACATGGAAGCCCCACAAAAGTTGGGCTATTTAACAAACATCTGATTCTGTTAATGATAACACCAAGTTAGCTGCACCTGAATAGGTGCAGATATTTTAACATATAGTGCCATTCCTTTCTTTCTATTGCTTCTGTTCTTTTTAACAAGCTGTATCCTTCAGCTGCAATATCCCATCAAGTCTGTCTTATGCCTATTAAGGCATATTTGCATTCTTCATTGAAAATTAAAGTTCATCTTTTTATTTTCCTTATGCTGTGCATTAGTGCATGGACAACAAGGCCATGAACTTTATGAGTCAGCGATCTTCCTAATTTTTCATTAAGTGACTTATTAGGCCCCACTTAGCAACACTCTCACTTCCTCCTACAACAGTCAAATTTTGGTCTGATGTTGTTATTTTAGGATCTTTATCTTCAACCCACATGAGATTCAAAGTTCTCCTACTCAAAGTCAACATGTTCATGCTAGGCATATTCTTTCTGGGCCTTCTACCAGCAAGCCTTAAAAAAAAGCAGACCATGGTGCAAGAACTCAAATTTCTCATGAATTCTGCTTTCCACTCACTCCTCTTCCATGAACTAGAAGGATGGGTGAAAAATTGAGTTCCCCAGTTCTTGAACTTCCTTCCTCAATCTTCAGAGTCCATGGTGATATGGATGTAATGGCTCTTGACAATATCATGACCAGGAAGGAATAATACTTAGTGAATCTGATGAGGAAATGAAATGAAATAAACTTAATCAGTCCTAGAAGTTTCTTTCACATTCTTAATCAGTTCTTGTGGCAAATGGCACATTTCATCAGCCAGTGATTCTGGTTAGTACACGTTCAATTATTGCTTGAGAACAAGTATTCACATTGTTAAGTAAAGACTGCTAAGGCCTAAGGTAGGAAACAAAGCCAGATGATCTTTATGGTAACTCAATAAGACAAGGCTGAGAAGTCAGGCCTAGCTTGATGCAGAGCTGATCAGATTCCATTAGTTCAAGGTTGCCTTGACTAGTTATGAACGGCAGTATGCACTCTCTCCATTCCAAATGTGACTTCCAGGGAGGTTGATAGTAATTCCTTCAGCCATGAGCTGCTTTGGTAGAACCCAAATTAAAGAGCCTTGGCTTTATTGCTTGTATCAACATCTTCCACTATGTTAGATTTCATTGCCAATTGAAAATAAAAATAGCTCATAGGCTAAGCTGGCCCAAGTTATTTTGCAGCTTGAAGCCAAGGGCAAGATGACCATCTTCCTCCTTTTATTGTCGATCACCAGTCAGTATGATAATTAAATCTTATTTAATCCTAGCAAAAGAACAGCTTCTTCCACCCTACCTGAGAGCAGCTGGCTGGCTTAGGGGACTCATCCCTCAGCATCTGCTATCTCTGGCAGCCTCCTCATTTGGACAGCATGGGGTAAAGAGAACCTGCTAGGAAGTAGATCTGGGCATAAATGGCTCTTTGAAATTCTCTCCCAAATTTGTGGAGAGAAAAGTTGGATGGAAGATTTCTCTGAATTTCTCCAGGGTAAGAACAGTTCTCCAACTGTTTCTCAATGGTGACATTGAGCTCTAGCCCCACAATAGCTCACTGAGACTGCAAAGTGTCTCCAATAGACAGCAGACTTAGCTGGCTGGTCCTCTGTACTCCATCTATTGCTGAAGTTTTCAGTCATTCAGTTAGGAAGCTGGGAGCTATCCTCCCTATCTGGAAGAAAAGAAGGGATATACATATGAATATGCATTCCTTTTAAAACCAGACATGAGATAGATTGATTATGTGCCATCAAGTCCCTGTTGACTCCTAGCACCCAGATAGATAGATTTTATCCATGACAACCAGACATGAGACATAAGAATAAATAAAGCCTCTTCTAGGAAGAACCCAAGGACGTGCCACATCTAAGACAACTGCTACACACCAAACTTCAGAGGTGGGGTATTCCCCAGCTACTTTGCATCTCATTTTTTTTCTGTTTCACTTTTTCCATGGTTTTGAAGCCTTTCTAGCTGTCTGTATTTTTCAACTGGAAAAAGCCCCATAGAAAGAACAACCTCCTGATCTCTTCTTTTGGAATGTAATGAAAGTGGGGAAAGCCCGTGAGGGCTGAGAGAGAACTTTTCAGTGCAAAAGAGCGCTCTTTGACAACTGGGTGACTAAGTAAGGGCAGCACCACCAACGCTGTACCAATCCCAAGATATTCTCCCACATTCTCTTCTCTTTTAGTAGAATTTCAGAATCAAAGTTTCTTTCATTATACTGAAAACTAGTGGGAAAATACAGGTTCTTCACTCAGTCAGGGAATAACTACGTTTCTAGTAAAAACAGGCAATGTGTAAATTGTTCAACCAGTTGTGACCTCGCACACCTGTTTCATTTCTTGAGAGTTGTCTTCACTCCTACAAATGAAAAATTCCTGTCTAATGATAAGGCATGATAGACTTGTGGAAAAAGATATGAAGGCTGAGTTGTTCACACAGTGGTATATTTTAATACTATGTTTAGTACCTAGTAAAGATTATGTGTTGAAGTTCACATCCTATGATAATAATTTTCTATTACTCATCTCTCACATTCTGCATATGGTTGATGAATTTTATCTCTAACAGAACTTTATTTCTAACAGATTATGACTTTTTTCTTTCTGGGAGTCTGATCTATTTTAGTTTTGGGAGTTCTCACATAGGCCACAGAGATGTTAGATAGTAGCATCTTCAAGTATTCTACTCATTTCCAGTGTTTCTCCTATTTTTTGTTTTGAATTGGCATTGTCTTCTCAAAAGGTCCCATATAAGAGAAAGACAATTAAGAAATTTTGGGCAATGTAGAAACCAACCAAGAAACATTTCCTCCTTTATGCAGACAACTAGAGAACGCTAGGGCAAAATAACTGTTTATACACGCTGTTATAGTCATGCAACAAGATTTGGGAAGTCCCAAAAGCTTTGATATATTCAAATTTACATTGGAAAACAATGTGCTTTTAGAGCATCTCTTATGAAGTTAGATTTAAAAGTTCATGTATCAGATGATGCACAACTAAGGATTTCTGCAGATATTGCCTATTCATTTTTATGTATGATCATATTCTCATCTTCATATATTTTCAAGTTGCCTCCTACAAACAGGAAAATTGGGAGTAGAAAACACAACTAAATAGAAGAACAACCCTTGTGGATCAGGCCAAATCTTGTAGATTACGCACAGCCCCAGGGCTTCAGATTTGCACATGTTACTGTATATTTAAAACAGGAAGCACTATGTGTTTTTTGTAATGGAAGATCATTTATTTGTGAGAGCATCTCCACCAGCCTTGCATCTGCAATTGAGTAAGAATGATAATTAGCAGCTCTGAAACCCCAAAACTTATGTGAGCTAGGTGGTTATATTTTAAGTAAATAATAGGGCTCAGATGGCTTCTAGAACAATATGGAACTGAACCTTGTCCTATTTAAACCTTCTCTGTGACTTAAATATAAGTTTAGTAATTACAAAAGCAGGAGCTTAGATATTCCTTCACATTTAATTTCTTCTTCTTCAGAATACCTTGGCCAAGGCTTTATATGACAACAAAGCTGAGTGTCCAGATGAGCTCGCCTTTCGTAGAGGAGACATCCTTACAGTTCTGGAACAGAATCTCCTTGGGAGTGAAGGTTGGTGGAAATGTTCCCTTCATGGGAGGCACGGTCTGGCACCAGCAAATCGCCTCCAACTTCTTACTCCATCACTGGCTCCCTCCATTGAGCAAGATTTCCAAGGACTGCCAACCAACCCCTGGACTACCTACCAGGTTCCTTCAGCACATAGAACTCCTGCACCATTATCTGTCTATGAAAAAATGGATGGTTGGATTAGTTCTCCTTCATCATCTTCTTCTACTTCATTCTTGCCAACACAAGAAGGGTACCAAGGGCCAGCTTTGGCTGCCAAGCTGCTCAGTGAAAAGACTCAGACTTCATCAAATCAGGTAAAGGTGCATGCTGCTTGTCAAATGACCAGTTTCTGAGGATGGGAAAATGGATAATGTAATAAAGGTAGGAAGAAATAGATTAAAGCTTCCTTTTTCATCTCTTTTCCATCTGTTTCTCTCTTGTATGCATGCACACATAGAGACACAGAGGTTTATTCCTCTGTCACAGAGGACCCCAACTTGGATTTAGAAAATGCCGAACTTCAACTCCCATTGCCCATGTGTTTACAGGGTTAAGGGAATTGTAATCCCACATATCCAGAGGACACCAAATTGAAGACGGCTGTGTTAGACATATAAATATTCTATTTATTATACACAGAGATTGCAGTCCACTGATAGACTGCTTCATAATTTCCAATGGACCATTTATTCTTAGCTTTGAGTAGCTATTTTACAGAGGATGTGTTTTCTTTTACAAATATGAATGATAGTTGAGTCAGTTTTAGAAGTTAATAAAATGTCAAATGGATAAAGATAGAATGGATAATAATAAACACATCTTTCCAAAGTTAGTGTAACTAGAACACAATCTGTTTCTGTCTTAGGTCAGTAATATTTGGTGTATCATTCAGTAAAAATTAGAGGCAACACGTTTAGGACACATTTGACAACCTGGCATTCTTCAAATGTGTTTAGACTATATCTTCCCAAATTTGTAGTCAATATGGCCAACAGCCACACTACAGTAGTTGTCTAGCAGTTGTAATCCCAGCTCATCTGGAAGGAGAGGGCAAATTGGGGAGGGTTGGTTTACAATAATTAAAAAGGAAGTACTTCATATGGGCAATAGTGTCTTTGTGAAATTCAGATAAATTCAAGGGAGCCCAATGTTTAATATCCACATTCAGCAATAGGAGCCCCCTCTGCTCTGAGTATCAAGTACTGGGGGAGGAAAAACAAAAGGACAGAATTATGTAGCCTAATGCCTTCCAGATATTTTGGAATATACTTTCCATAAACTCCAAATACATTTTGGGCAATGTGCAATGATATGAGAGTTGCAATGCAAAATTACTGAAGAGCACCAGGACAACCAGAACCAAGAGCAAAAGGACATTGCCATAACCATCAGCTTGGCTTTCAAGAATTCTTTATTTGAGCCACTATTGGAAATAAAATGCAGAGTCAGTTGCCATTTTTGGGCTAATCTGATAAGACAACTCCATGTTCTTAAGCAGTTGATAAAACTGGTAAAGAATGGTAATTATAACCACCTTTATTAGTTCTTTAAAAGAGCAGTAGTCGTAATTGTAATAATAATAGTAGTAGTAGTAGTAGTAGTAGTAGTAATAATAATAATAATAATAATAATAATAATAATAATACGCCAAGCTTTCAAATGTTAATCCTGGGAATTTAAAGTTTTCTCGGGCAACATCTTGCTTATCACTGCAGTTGTTTCCACAGGGAACAAATGTCCTGTAACAGTTCTTCACCACAACACATATGCTTAAAGAACGCACAGGGTGAAATGCCCAGCTAGTGCAGGAATAGAAACAGAGTAGACTAGAATCACACAGAGTCAGCTGTAGTATGATCAGCTGTTGCTGACAGCTAGCCAGACTGTTGCCCATCTCTTTTAGAGTTGAATATGGAATCTGGCGGTGGAAGATTGAACATTCACTTCATATGCCCCAATCCTTAGCATTTCTCCTTTGAAATTTCCTTCTAAACAGCAAATCATTCAAAACAAACAAATGCAGTGATAGCATGACCCTCTTTGCAGGTTTAACTAAAAGTAGGTGGTGGGTGAGGAGGAACCCAACTGGTTTCACCTCCAACATTACCAAACTGGCAGTTGGTCAAGAAATGATCTTATACCATCTAGCAGAGAAATATGCCCTTGGCCTTAAAATTTCACTGCATGTTGCCTTTGTAGATTTAAATTCAGCCTTTGATTCTATCACCAGAGAAATTTTCTGGAAGAAACCACTATAGATAGAAGACTTCTTTTACTGATACATAATGCTTACAGTAATACCAGTGTGGGGGCTACATGTGGCACCCAAAGTCAATTAACTGATTCCTAGCCTGGGGTGTTAATAAGGATATGTCCTTGCCACACTACTTTTTACTTTTTATATAAATTCAGTAAACAACAACCTGGGTTTCCATTTCTCTAAGCTGGCCAACAGGCATATCTCAATCCTCCTTTCAGCTGACGATATAGCCATCCTCTTGCACTCAGTCCTAGAGCTGAGGAGAGCAATAAAAGCACTCACACACTACTGTGAAGACCAGGAACTGTTCATAGAAACAGTTACCAGAAAATTAAAGTGTAGATCTTTCTTAGGAAAACAAAAGAGTATAATTGGACCATCAGTGGTTACAAAATAGATCAAGTAAAGTCCTTTAATTACCTAAGTATATGTCAGGCAAGAACATTGGTGAAACAGTCCAGTTGAGTTAAGTTCCTTTATTTGCTTACACCATATAGACAGAATCTTGATAGATCAAGTAAAGTCCTTTAATTACCTAAGTATATGTCAGGCAAGAACATTGGTGAAACAGTCCAGTTGAGTTAAGTTCCTTTATTTGCTTACACCATATAGACAGAATCTTGCCACACTAAATCTATACTACTGCAACTAGTGGATATACCTGGGAGATTCTAGGGAGTGGCTATCCTGAACCTCTGATTCTTCCCACGTTCCACCTCTGGACTATATTGTCATTTGTCTCCTGCTCTTCCTGCAATGCACCCCCTCCTTCCTGATAGCCTTGCTTTCTGTTGCTATCCACCACAGTTAAATCTTTGAGGAATCTGGTAGATGAGATGCCCATCTGTTCCGAGTGGCTCAAAGAAGCAATATAGCTATTCTTTTTTTTTTTTTAATACCAGAGAAGGCCAGTTCATTCCAGCTGCACTGAAACTTTATGAGCCCAAGGTAATGGCACAGCTATTCTACTGTGTACAACTGAGTCCCTAAGCCCCAAATTCCTAAGATGAATTCAGTGGCTTCCTAAATGGGTCTCCAATGCTGCCATAAGATTGGAACTGGGTATCACAAAAGTGGAGGGCGGAATCTGGATTGTTATTCTCAGGTACTGGCTGAAACTGATGTATAGGTTTCTGTAACAATGAAATAGTTTTCATTTAAGCATCAGGGACAAGCAACTTTTTATTTTACTTTGTTTAAAGATAACTAATGAGAATTTTATTTGATTTTAGGCCTTGGCCAGATAACTTACACAGTTCTCACACCTTCTAGTTTGATTATGTCTGAGTAGCCATTGACCATAATAAAAAATAAACAAAGAAACTATTGGGAGCAGGCAGTCCTATAGATATCACCCCATTGAATTTGACCTAGAACCTAATTGGTAACCAGTGCAGCCATCAGAGTAATAGTCTTTTCTGGATAACCCAAGGGATACCCATAATTATTTGAGCTACTTCATTCTGGACTAGTTATAACTGCTGAATGGACTTCAAGGCCAGCCCATCACAGAGTTAATTGCAGTAGTCCAAATGAGATGTGGCTAAAACATGAGTGACTGTAAGACAGGTATTCCACTCTAGAAAAGATCATAGCACACCTGAGCACAGGTGCCACCTGCTCTTTGGGTAAGAGTTATGAGTGCAAGAGGCCGCCCAAATGATGAGTCAGTGTGGTGTGTGGGGGTACAACCCTGTTCAGAGAGGGAATATCCCTGGAATCGAGTGGCTTCTGAATATACTGCTACTCCATTTTGCTGGAACTGAGCCTTATGTTTGCCCTCCTCATCCAGACCCTGACAGCATCCAAACACTGCAACGGCATTTCAACTGCATCGCCTGTTAGGTCTGGAACTGAGATATATAACTGGGTATCAACAACATATTAGTTACACTTAGCACTGTGTTGATGGATTATTTTCCTTAGTGATTTCATTTCAATGTCAGGAATGGGGAAAGTGTCAAGCTCCTCCCTTAATGGAGGACTCCAGAGCTCCTGGCATACAACATCTGTAAGAATTATGCTGTTCTCCAGACCAGGTCTAGATAACCAGGTCTTGAACTAGGCAAATAAGGATCAGTTTCATCCAGAAGCCCTTGAAGATATAATGCCATAATTTTGCCCCAAAGTGACAGATTGGAAAATAGTTTTTCAAATTGACAAGGTCTAAATTTTCTGTTTGGTTGTATGTTACACATGAGACAGATTACCAGAACTTGTAATGGGTTAAAACCCCATTGTGTTTGTTCAGATCTTCTGAGAGTACCTAAACCTTTTGATGTATGTAATTTCAACAATTGCTTGTTCAATGGTGGTGGTAAAATCTGATTTTGAAAATAGTCATTTTGAGGTCTGCCATAGAATGTCCTGGCTGGTTGAAATGCTCTGATGTTACTCTGTCCTTTTGAGTCCTGATGTCAAATTTGTGGCCATTAATTCTTTTGCCCAGTTTGTTCTGTTTGACCTACATTCTATGTTGAATCCAGAGGGGCATTGCTGTCTCTCATCTTGTGTGTGTACTTATTGGGGGCCTGTGATGATGCTGTTGATGTAGATGAAGGGCAAAGTAAACTCAGATGTCTACTTTGCACCCACGTCTACACCAACAGCACCTTCACAGGTCCCAATAAATATACACACAAGTAATCTGTTTCACATGCACCTGCACCTGCATAACCAGTCTTCCCCTCCCTTCCCCTCCCTCACCCCAATGTAAATCCTGCATCAGTCTAGCCATTCTATGCACCTTACAAAGTTAGCTGAAGTGTATGTCTTTTAATAAAACATGATAGTCAAAAAAGGTGGTACCACACACACATACACACTGTTCCTAGTCAAATTATTCCAAGATCATAGTGTGAATCTATAGCTGAGCCACACCTGGTAGTTTTGAGGATGGCAGCTACAGTAGAACCTTCCCAAACATAATCCATTAAATCCATCCAGGATACAGATCCAAGACTGGTAGTTATAATATTCCTATTTATTGGACATGTGCTTCCAAAGAGTGCCTTCTGTTTTTTAAGATTCTCCAGCCGAAATCTAGCATGAATCAGTTGGGGAGGAAAGTTTTGAAGCAGGAGTTTAAGAAGTGTGGCCTGCCAATATCTTTTTTTGCAGATTCAGGGGTCCTACAGGAGGTGAGACTAAAAGATTTGGACTTTTTTCCAATTGGGGGTTGTCAGGAGTTTTAAGGGGCAAAACTGGTATCTTGGGTTTTGCAAAGAGTTACAATTCCTTTTTATCAATTAAGTATTGTACCTTCCACTAGATTGGGATTCTAGCTATGCCTACTCTGGAAGTGTAATCTCTGACATGCTATGCAAAATCCAACATGGACATTGAACTGATGAAACCTGTATACCACTCCCCGGGACTTGGTTGCTTCCCCCACACACACACACAAAATAATAATAATGAACTATCGCTTCTTTATAACTGAACTGCTGAACATCTGTGAAATTAACTTGTGTACATCTAATCTATTGTTCAGACTCTTGCTTGAAATGTTTGATATTGACTTCATATCAGATGCTTTGTATGTGATAAAAGAAAGGCAAAAGAAATTGTGTGTGTGTGTGTGTGTGTGTAATCTTTGAATTTATTAAGATCAGATTCCGTAGCCTCTATAGGCCCAATCAAAATTTTAAGAGGCTGGAGTATCTGAGAATTATTCAAAATCTAGCTTTAGAGTCACTACTATTTAATACCAAAGTGGTACAATTGTTAGAATACTAGAATAAGTTCAAGGAGATCTTGGGTTTAAACCTTTATTCATTCATGAGGTAAACTATGGGCCAGTCTACACAAAGGTTTTTTCCTCAATGCTGCAACTTTTAGCTCATTTATACACACTCCAACTTCTGCTTTCTTGATACTGGTTTCCTCTTACCCCTGCCCCTCCCATCTTCATCATGATAGCTTTTTTAGTTGATGATTGTGGTTTCCATGCATTACTGAATTACATAGAAATTCATAGCAGATGTTATCGTCAAAGAGTGATAAGTTTCAGATCTGTAATATTTCCCTACCTTCACTTTTAATTTGGAATGGGGAAGAAGGGAGAGGAAACACTTATAATCAAGACATTTGTATTTGTCTTTCCTTTCCACTTCTTTGTAATTAAAAAAGATTTGTAAATCACTGGGCAAAGCTTAGTTTTCAATGGACATTACTCAATTGTGAATTGTGTCCTTTTCATTTGAAAACCTGTATTTCTATAGTTATAGACGTAAGCATGGATCTGCTGTACTTTGGTCATAGAAAAGGGATGTGAGAGGCAATGGGTTACTTATGTCACCTAGTTGAAGGAATAACCTTTTCTGTATGAATATCTACCCTGCTAAAGATCATCTAAGGAATTTTGTGTATGGTTGTCACAGTCTGCTATTAGTCATCTTTTAAAATACTCTAATGCATCTTTATATAGAGACTTTATTTGTTGATCATTTGAATTTGAATATCTCAGGTTTAAATTCTGGTTTTATGTTTTTATTCTAAACTACTAAGACATTTTGGTAGTTGGTGATATAACAAACCAAATTGTAAATATCTCAGGTTTATACAGTTTCCTTGACTAATCAGCAAATTATTTGGACAAAATGAAGAAGCATACATTCTTGGTACCTTTTCAGTAGATTGAATTCTTTAATTTACATACTATTCAATAATCACAAAAGATGTCTTGCTTCCTTTTATGTGACCACAGTTTCATCCACCAGTAATTAATAGGTTATGGAAAGAGGCAACTGTTGGTAGCAGTTGAAAAATGAATGGCAATGTCATGGGCAAACAACAAATATTTTGCAAGGTTAATAACTATCTATAGGAGAAGCTGTTTATTAAATGATTAATCCAGTATCACTTGAAAGAACAGCAGCTCATAACATGTTCACAGGTAATATCAGGTCATTTTGATTTCATAATTTCCCCCTTCTTCTCCCAAGCACCTCTTCACTCTTCCAAGAGCAACTTGGGCATCAGCCCTGGAGAGCAGAAATGATGTCTACGACATTCCATCACCCCAGCATTGTGGATCCTTGTTGACTCAGGTGAGCATGGTGGACATGACAAGCAGATGGTCAGCCATTGCTTGATTGGTAAGGTTGCATTAAAGTCACTAATGAGAAAAGAAAATGGAGGAAACCTGAAAAATTGGGTAGATTTCGATTTATAGTTGCTCTATAATGGTGAAGACAATTGATGAAATGGGACACACTTCCTATTATATCCTGAGACCATTACACAGGTTTTCTAAAATAGTCATAATCAGAATTTTTCCAGAGCCCTAAATTACAATCAAGTGTAATTACAATCAATTACAAATCAAATCTAGTGTGTCTGATTTATGGCTAGTAAACAAAATATAGGAAGTAAGTACAACGTGGTTGCTTTCTATCAGACATTTTTCCAGCAGTTAAACAGACAAGGTAAAATATCTAGTAATATATTAACTTCAGTGAATTACAGCAAATGTGGCTTAATTGCTCAAGAAAAAAATTAAGGACTTTATTTAAAAACTATTTTTATAATATAGATATGAATGTTTAAGACTTGACAAGTCAATACTTTATACTTCCTTTATGCTGTTGTTTGTAAAGAAAACACAAAAACAACATATGAAGTTTAGCACAGTGAAAAAGAGGTATAAATGTGGACTGGGCACAACTTAATGACAATCACCTGAACCAAAGTTAACTGCGGTTTTGAAGTTGCCCAGTTTGATTGGCACTAGATCATTTGTTGGCTGTGTTTGAATGATTGTTTTAAAGCTCAAGAAACTGAAAATATATGCCTTCTCCTATCTCAGCATGCTGTGAATAAATTTAAAAGTCTTAATTAAGAAAAAGTTCCTGCTTCATCCAAATCAGGAAATAATGGTTCAAATCTGGAACAAATTAGATTCAAATTAGATTTAAATCCCTATTTAAAATTACTCTTGCTTGTCTATAGGATTTCATTTGGCTATTTAAAAGTACTGTTCCTTGCTTATCTCTTCAGTCTGAACTATTTTTGCTCAATGTTGCTGGAACTATGAAATCAAACCTTACTATGTAATTGCTTGCTGGATTGTCTATAGGCTGCTACTTCTTCATTATTTTCAACAGAATACATCCTTTCTAAGTTGTGTAACCAGGTGAAGGTAGCCGACGGGTCTTTGACTCTCGATGAGATAGGGGATTTATCTGTCCCAGTGTATGACGTCTGGCCCTGGCAGATTGAGTGGAGGAGACAGATCAACAGTCCAATGGCCAAGAAGAGTACTGAGAGCTCGACAAGATACTTAGATGTCCTGGTCATCTACTGCAGCAGCAGAAGGTCTCCAGCCATGCCACTCAATTAAGGTCTCTCATGCTGAGAGAGTGGGACTGCCCCTGTGCAACAGTTGTTCCACTTAAAACTTTATCACACACAGGTTTCTGTTGTGCAGTTCATCTTCATCTACAACTCATCGGCAAACATCTCAGTCCAAACCTAATTCATTGAGCCCTGTGGTGATGGGGGAATGGCAAAGCAACAGGTGGAGATGACCACTGGCAGTTGTAGTCACAAACCTGCATGTGGGTGGCCCTTGTTCATCTCAGTACCTGGGGCAGCAGAGATGTCCGGCAGCATCCAGGATGACTGGGCAGCCCTTCTAGGATAGCACTGCCCACCCTTGCATGAGGGAGGGGGTTAGAAAAGATATCCTAAAATTGCCTGCCCCACAACATCTGACTAGCTAACTGTGGCTGGCAGATCATCTCCTTAGTGGTTAGAGGATCAAGAAAAATGAATCAAAGAAAACTCATTTTTGGAGCCTGGATCATCTGTACCTTGTTGGATAGAGACAAGATGTCAAGGCCTTAAAGATGAACAGCATTCATAGCAGCCAAACTTCACCATTATAGCATTGACATTGCTCTACGCAGTGAACTTAGAGGGTTCATTACAGGAAACAGTGAGTGGATATACATTCTTTTGGAAAGGGAAACCACAGACTGACAACAGGACTCACAGAATAGGTTTTGCAATCAAAACTGCTTTGCTGAAGAACATCTCTGCTCTACCCACTGGAATGAATGAACACATTATGAAGTTCCACTTTCCTCTCAGCAAGTCCCTGGATATCACTATTGTCAACGCCTACGCATCAACTCTCATGAGTCCAGATGAAGACAAGGAAGGTTTCTACAAGGACCTGGACAAGATTATTTGAACAACCCTTGCCAGTGGCAAACTTGTCATTCTGGGTGACTTCAACACTAGGGCGGGGACAGACAGTGACAACTGGGATGGAGTCCTTGGGAGACATGGGGTGGGAAAACTAAATAGCAATGGCCTACTGCTTCTGAGCAAATGTGCCAAGTACAACCTGTGCATCACTAACACAATGTTCATACTTGCAAACAAGTACAAAACTACCTGGATGCATCCCAGGTCCAAACACTGGCACCTACTTGACTATGTCATAGTATGTCAGTGCAACCTTAAAGACGTCACTATCACCTGAGCCATGCAAGGTGCTGAGTGCTGGACAGATCACAGGCTGGTCCAGTCGGTCCTCAACCTGCACATAGTCCCTTTACATCAAAAGCAACCAAGGACTGTCAGAAAGTCATTTAACATCGGCAGACTGCAAGACCCAGGCCAAGTCCAGCATTTCCAAGAAGTACCTAATGAAAAACTTTCTGGCAATTTACTGCTTGTAGGAACCTGTTCTGAAAAGTGGATGCAGTTTAAAGATGTCATCATGCAGACTATAACAACTATACCCGGGCTGAAAACCCGGGCGCATCAAGACTGGTTTGATGAAAACCCTGAGACCATTTCAGCAGCCCTCCAGGCCAAGAACAAGGCTTATGCAGACTGGCAGAACGATCCATCATCAGTCCCAAAGAAAGACAAGTTTCAGCATCTGCAGTCCAAAGTACAGACGGAACCGTGAGAAACCCAGGGCGAGTGGTGGCAGAGAAGGCCTGAGCAGGTGGAACACTATGCAGACATACTGCCACCAGAGAGTTCTTCAGTGCCATAAAGTCAGTTTATGGTCCTTCTAAATCAGGATGCTCCCCCTTGCTGTCCTCTGATGGGTCAAGCCTGATCAAAGACCAGGAAGGACTGAAAAACCGCTGGGCTGAATACTTTCACAATCTACTCAATAGGCCGTCTACAGTTGATCCTGATGCCTTACAGCAGATTCCTCAGCTGCCAGTCTTGGGTGTCCTAGACCTGCCTCCCTCTACTGATAAGCAAGAAAGTGATCTCAAGGATGAGCTTAAATAAAGCAACAGGACAGGATGGCATTCCTGCTGAGATCTACAAAGCACTAGAACCAAACACCTTACAGGCATTCCAAGACATCTTGGAAGACATTTGGTCCACAGAGGAGCTGCCTGATCACTTCCATAATACCCTCATTGTGGCTCTCTACAAAAATAAGGGAAGCAAATCAGACTGTGAAAAATAGAGGGGTATCTCACTGCTGTCCGTTGCAGACAAGATCTTTGCTCACATTCTCCTGAGCAGACTTGTCACTGTCTCAGAAAGGAAACTCCCAGAGGTGCATTATGGCTTTCAGCCAGAACAGAGTTCAGCAGACATGATATCTGCCATGAGGCAAGTCCAGGAGAAATGCATCAAGCAGATCAAGCCTCTTTACTCTGTCTTCATTGACCTGACAAAAGCATTTGACACTGTAAACAGAGAGGCTCTCTGGATCATCCTGAGATGTTATGGATGCCCACAGAAATTCGTTAAGTTGATTCAGCTACTCCACGACTGAATGACAGGACAGGTTCTTTACAACGGTGATATATCAGCTGCATTTGCCATTTCCAATGGGATTAAAACAGGGTTGTGTGCTAGCCCCATTCTGTTCAATCTGTTCTTCGCTTGCATGTTATCATGTGCTTTCCAAGGTCTGAAGGAGGGAGTATACATCAGGTACCAATTGGATGGTTCTCTCTTTGACCTTCACTGCTTGAATGCATGAATGAAGTGCCTCCATACAGTCATCCAAGAAACCCTCTTTGCTATGACCGTGGTGCACAAAGACAGTGATCTACAGTTGATGCTGAACAAATTCTCAGTTGCTGCTATTTTGGCCTGACTATCAGCCTGAATAAGGCTGAAGTGCTTTATCAGCCCATGCCAAATACAAACCTCATAGAACCAAAAATCACTGTTGATGACACCCAGCTGACAAATGTAAACAGCTTCAAATATTTGGGATGCATCATCTT